ATTTACTGCTAGGGCAATCTTCAGTGTACGCTACGAATGTGACGCGATTGGCTGTGAAGCCCTCCCATAGCCCTCAAAATTGTCCTGGGGATAGGAGATGTTGCCTTTGTCAGTGGACTAAGTCCAAACGTAAGTCTGTAGGAGAAAAGGGATAATATTTTAATAAAAATCTTACTACATCTGTAAAACTCTTTATAGGTCGCAAAATGGTTTCACAAATAACCATGTAGAGGAGAAAGAGAGTAAGCTTTGAAAATGCTCTGCCCTGGAGTCAAACCCCGGCCAGCCCACTTCTAGACACGTGACCGTAAGCAAATCACAGCATTTCATAGCCCCTTTCCTCATTCCAATATGTAGATTAAACCTTCCTTGTAGAGTTGTTTTGAAGAATAAATGAGACATCTGTAAAGTACCTTGGACATAGTAGTTATAAAATAGAAGCTATTATTACTAATTTTGCTTTTGGTGGTTTTGTGATTCCGAACAAATAACACACACACAGCATGGCCCCAAAGGGAGAGTTCCCTGAGCTAGGCATAGCCCTCCAACCTGAAAAGTGAAGCATCCGTGTGAAACTGGATATAGGAAATGAAAAAGAAGAGTCAAAGACTGAAAGGCTTTTTAGTCTAGGCAGCTGACAGTCGAGAAGAGCCAGGTGGGAGCTTGCGGAGAAGGTGTCAGGTGGCGGGTCCTGAGATGGACAGGTCCCGCACTGTCTCAGTCTCTGGAGACGGTGGCCATGGAGGCGAGTGGTCAGAACCAGTGACACTGATTTTTTGGAGGGGTAGCCCTCCCTAGGAACAGGTGACATCCCAAGAGTGAGTGGGCCCACGAAGGAAGGGAGCTATCCGAGGCAGAACCTGGAGCAAGGGGCTACTTTTTGGAGGAATTAAAGAGGAGCCAAGGAGATGTTGGGAAAGGTCCACTCAGAGACCAGAGCAATGCAGGTCTCTGAATGGATGGCATCTTGGCCAATGGATGAGTGGGAAGATGGAAGGAAGGACAAAAAAGTAAGAAGGAAAAAAACAAGAGGAGACAGCTTCAAGGAAGGCTGGTCAACAGTATCAAAGCGACAGAGGAGGCACCAATGATACACTCTGAAAGCCGGTGGAGTTGACAAGAACTGGGTCGCTGTCAGCTTCAGACAAAAGTTTTCAGTAGAGTAGAGGACTCAAAGCAACACATGAAAATTGCATGGGGGGAATCTAAAAGCAGAAAGAAGGAAATAAAAAGGATGCGAAAGAGAAAAAGGAACAAAATCCAGCAAAGACTGGGGGTACTTAAGCCAGGACCACTTCCGCACGACCGTGGCGGAAATGCCCCGTGAAAAGCGGAGAGAAGACGGTGGGCCCCGGGACTCACAGACCTCGCCGTCTTCCAGCTGCCCACTCGGGACTGTCCCTGGCTCGTCAAAATAGAATCCAAGAAACCTGTAATTTGGAGGTCAAAAAAGTTAGGGTAATGAGGTGAACGTTAAAAGACCTATTCTGGTCATTTTATTTTATTTTGAAGGAAATGTTTAAATTTGAATAGCTCTTGACTTGCTATGAAGTACAAATGATAATAATGCCAGAGTTTAATAGATATTTTAAAAAAAGAATTTCTATGACAACCACAACTCAGCCTCCACAGAATATATAAATAGGAACCAGAATGAGGAAAATTATAGAGAAATGTGACTTTTTCTGATTTGGAAACTATTTCAACTACTTTTCTTTAATGTTTTGCTCATTTGGTTCTAATATGAGAGCATGAAAACATTCCTCTATTTCAATAGCTTCTTTGTGTTACAAATTAAAATGAGCAGATCATCATTTGATGAAAGAAAACTGGAAACCAGACCGATTAATGACTTGCTCCACTAAGATGCCCCTGGCCCATCTAATATGTAAAGGACCACACAGAGAGAAAACACAGACATGCACTCATGCATTAGATGGCTGGCCAAATAGGAAAAGCAGATAACAGGGAATGTGGAATCAATACAGCTGAGCTGCCAGAACATAAAGCTTCCAACCAATTTTAAAGGGACCAAAGTTTCCCACCTCTTCTCCAACATGTTCCTTTAACCACGACAATTCCCGAGACCTGCCATGAGGTTTGCTATGAATTTGCCTGGTAAGGGAAGGTAGAGTAGAGCAAGTTCAGACATCCAGAGCATCTCTTGGGATAACCTATCACTTTCAAGAACTCACTCCCTTGAAACCAGAACAATCAGATAGGCAAGCCCAGGGACCCTAAGGATTCAAGGTTAGAGTATGCGGTGATCGGATCTCTCGCAGAGTGCGTTTGCTTTAAGCCATGTTCATTGCAATGAAGTGAGCTGGTTACACAGAGCTCCCAGTTAGCTGGGCCATCTGACCCCACCCAGGGACCGGTAGTCGCCTGCCTGCCCCTGCGTCCCCACTTCCTCCGTCTAGTGGCATAGCCCCTTGCCCACTTTTTCTCTCTCTGCTCTGGCTTGCTCCTTCCTCTCGTCTGGCCCCCACTCGAGCCTTGGCCTGGAGGCGATCATTCACTCTCTCTGCTCTGCAGCCCAAGGGCCAGGCCAGCCTTGCCCTGCCCCTGAACCCTCCTCCAGCTCCAGAAATCCCCATCTGCTGCAACTCTGAGCCACTGGCCTGTCAAATGGAGTGGTTTGAGCATGGATGGATGAGTTCAAACTGCAGGTGTTCTCCAATAGCACTGAGATTCCTCCCACGTCACCCAAGGTCAACATCTTCCCAAAGAAAAGTAAAGCTATTCAATGATTTGGTGTGCCTGACAAAAACAGTCACATATATGGGAGTTTATATGCTGCTGTTGAAGTATAAGGCTTATCATCCCCTGTATAAATGAAGCTAATTAAAATGTCAGTCATACCATGGTAAATTAATTATAAGAGCATTAATGTTACTAGATTCAGTATATTTTGCTAACTTGTCCATAAGTAAACTTACCTAACAATTTGTAATCATTAGCAGGTATAAATGTCAAAACATAAGTCACTCAGTTTACATTCAAGTTCTTTGCATCCAGGGACCTTCTATATGCAGACCCATATAAACTCTAAGCCTTCATATAGGGTCAGCAAATATGGGGAGAGCATCCTGAAATAATTCTGCCATCCCCAGCTCTCAGCATACATGCTGGCTAGATTGAGCAGAGCAACCTTGGCCCAAGGGCTCACACCTGCACTTTGGAAGAGCCTCTGCCGGGGAAGCAGCACTAGGGAGGAGCTGAGACACCTCCGGGCACACTGAGAAAGCAGCACTGGCTTTTCATGTAAACAGCCTGGACGGCCTGGTTGGCAAGCCACTTGGAGTAAGGCTGTCCAGAGAGCAGGGAGGGAAAACAAGGCCGGAGACGCCAAGGGGAGCCCTGCTTCACAAAAATGATTTCTCTCTAGGATTTTCTTCAGACATTCCCTATAAAAAAACATACAAATATCTAATAGAAAATGTTGTAGTCATCACAACAACTCTTGGGAGTCTGATACACCACGCCTTGGCCATACAGAAACTCTTGAGCTAAATACTACCTTTTAAGAACATCAAAATCCTCACTGTTGAGCATACTCTGGTCTCACTGCCTGACTGTGCTTTCCCTTCCATGTGGAGTCTCCTACCAACGAACGGACAAGGTACAAGCCAACAATGCAGACGAGAAAAGGGCGGGAGAAGTTCCAACACTGCCTCTCATCCTCCACCCTGCCCCTTGTTCCTGCGAATGCCCAGGCCCACCGGGGAACAACACTGACTCCCCTCTCTCTGCGCACAGCACCTGCCTCAGACGGGTCTCAGGAATCCTGGGGTCTTGTTCCAAAGAATCTAGGAGGAAGTTGGAAACTATGCAACACAGTGAATTTCACAGCTGAGTTTTGAACCCAAACCAGTCTGAACCAATAGCTCCTAACTCTTGCCTCTAGTGCCATCTTGGTTACCTTCTTAGGTATAAACTTACATATATAACTGTTTTGCAAAGTCTGGAAAGGCAGGAAATATGTGATAGGGTGGGGAGGTGGGAACAGACATTTATAAAAGAAAATTTGTTCTCATTCCACAGTGATAAGGTGTACCATAGTGGTAACACTAGAAACACTTTACACTTGTATTAGAAAATGATATAGTTCTTGACCAAATGCACCAAATTGCCGGCTGCCACAGTAGTAGTATCACTAAGATAATCATTGCTGTTATTATAGTCTTATATAGAGATTATTCTAGAAGTGCCAGCTAACATAGGTGATTTGGGTTTTTTTTTAAACCAGATGTCCAGCCTTCCTAATTAACACACAATATAAAATGTAGATTTCAAAGAAAATGTCAATGTCCAAGTAATAAATGATTTCCCTGCCACAGCCATGTGTACATGTGTAACTATTAGCAGGTTCACTGTTACACAATGGGCCAGATGCGAACATGACTCCAAGCTGCTCATGTAATAAACAAGCTCCCCAGACACTGTCGGCCCTGAAAGCACTGAGTCAAATGCCCAGATCAAAGCCTCTAAGCGTGAGAAGGGGCCGTGGAAGTCATTATACCAACTGCTCATCCAGTGCGTGAGCCTCTTCATAAGATCCCCGCCGGGTAGTCACCTGGCTGCGTGCCAGAACCTGCCTGTCACACCTGGCAATGCCGACTGAGAGCTCACTGCCTCCCAGGGGAGGGCACCATTCCATCTTTGGACAGCTCTTTCATAATCAGTGGTAACTACCAGGTTAAACAAATCAGTGGTTCGTCTGAGGACATGGGAATGTGTTTATTTTCCTCTGTAATGCAAGTCAACAAAGTCTGTAATTGAGTTCATCAGAAGAGGACTCAAACATAATAGGGACATATGTTTAGACTCACTGAAGCAGACCAAGTCACCAGGCTAGTGAAGAAAATGGTGCCTGGACCATATGATAAGCTCGCATTACACGCCCATGTAACGCAGTGTTGTTGTTTTTTTTAACTTGAATAACCTTGCCACTGACCTGAAAACATTTTCAGATTGCTGGTTCAGGACCGATCAGTCAAAGCAGCACTTTGGCCAGGGGACCGGGGTTCCACTGCCCGTATCACAGAGTCACTGGACACGTTGCCCAGGAGGGGCGCATGCAGCCTGGAGCCGAAACAGTGATCCCAGAGTTGTGGAAGCATTCAGATGGTTTGTGCAGTTCTGTGCAATAGCGCAGTTTAGAGCTAGAGTCCTAGAGAAAAAATATAGACTTTGTAAACTTAGAATGCGCAGAGTTGGAGAGTGACCTCTCTCCGTGTTACAGGCTGCCCAGGTAATGAACTTATGACTCTCATTCCAGTGAAAAAAGAGCATTTAAGAGGGCTAGTTTTTCGATTCTTTATCTAATACTTTTTGAATCTTTAATATTTTGTTTGTTTTCTAGTGTCTTCTTCTTTCTTTCTTTCTTTTTCTTTTCTTTTTTTCTTTTTTGATGGAATGTTTGCCCTCAAACAGTGAAACAGTTTAAGGGTGTGCAATCTAAGTAAATAGCCTAAATATATCTTCTCTCCGTGTACATTCTCAAGATTACAACTTGGATTCTCTGAGTTTAATGAGGACAAGGCTGTTTCCCATTAAAAAGAGAAAAGAGTAGGACAGAAATTCAATAAGTGTTCAAGTAAAATATAACCATCCGAACATCTGTATTATATTAGAGGAGACACAAGACAAAACATTGACTCTTGAGGTTAAATCTAAATTTCCTGCTGCAGTTCTGAAAGAGTTTGAGAGTTTAGATAAAAAAAGCAACAAAGAAAACAGGACTAAAAATGAAGCAACTTTCAAAGACTACTAAATGCCAGCACTTAGTTATTTCTTCGAAGCACCAATATAACCACAAACAAAAATCAATAAAAACTCTGCACCATCCCAACTCTTTTTCCGAGTTAGGGTTGATACACCTGGGAGCTGTGCATCACAGGAGGTGCCCAAACGCCCCCTCTGACTCCTCCCCTCTCCTGTGGGATGTTGTTGTATTTCCAAAGATAGTGTTTCAGCCTCCTTTGGAATCTACTGCTCTTTAATTTCATACTGCAAAAAGAAAGCCCAAATTCCCGAGTCAAAGGTCAGCAAAGCAAGACAAATTGTCTCAGCAAAAACCAAAGAGAATGGGGCCAGAACCAGGATTCTGAAAGCCCTGTCTTTAAGACTGCCTTTGAAGCCTGCAACCCCTCCTTTATCAGGCTACTGAGCAGAATTACGTTTTAAGAAAGTAATGCTGACCAACCAGTTTGGTGGCTCTGTGGGAGCTTCTCTGCAATGCAATTAATCACAGATGAATTTGTCATTTTGAACTCAGAATAAAACAGCCTCTCTGACCAAATCTATGACAGAGGGGCATATCTCTGAACCTTACACATGACACCTTTTTTCCAACCGTGAAGGTTCTGATTGGATCAAGCAACTCAGGAGAAATTTATCATTAAATCATCTTAGACAGATCTTCTATTAAGTTATGCCTCAGTCTCAGCATCTAGGAAATGCAGACTGTATGCTTGATCCTCAGGACCTTTTACCAACATATCCCTTGTCCTGTCTCAACAGATTGTTAACCCTCAGCCACAGCCAAAGAAATCCTGATGCTGTTTTTTTCTGCATCACTGGTTACTCCTTTTCACTCCTTTTCAAACTCCTTGTTTGTCCCCGTCATGTTGGAAGGTCCCAGAGTCAGTCCTTGGTTCTCCTGTCTGTTACCAGTCACACCCTTAGAGAGCTCATCCAATCTACATATTCCAGTGGTTCTCAAATGTGTATTTTCAGCTCAAACCCATCTGCTGAGCCCCAAACTTACATACACAGCTACCTGTTTTGTAGTTCCATTTGGATGTCTAATAAACATTTCACACTTGTATGTCCCACACTGAACTCCCGATTTTTCCATACTCCATCCCACAAACATGCTGCACTACAGGGCTTCCTGTTTCTCAGCTAATGACACCACCATCCTTCCAGTTGTTCAAGACAGGTCTTCATGTCACACTGGACTCTCACTGCCCACACTCAGTCCATCAGATTATCCTATTGGCTACAAGAAATCCATCAAGAAAACTGTGTAACAGTCCAGTGCATTCCCTCAATACTCTCCTATCTGCTGCCCTGGTCCAAGCTCCTTTATTTCTTACCGAGGCTACCCAGTGGCCTCCTAAATGGTCTCTCTGCTTCTAACCTGCCTCCTAGAGAGTCAAGGAGATCCCCTATAAACATCAGTTGTGTCTCCCGTTCCTCTGCTTCAGCTCTACACAGACTGCCCGTTCCACTCAATAAACAAAAGCCTTTGCCTGGCCTTGTTTCCTACTTCTCTGGCCTGCTCGACCTGCCTCAACTCTAATGGCCACCTGGCTGTTCCTTACACATCTCAGGCACTTTCTTCCCATAGGTCCTTTGCACCAGTGCTCCTCTCTTTCTAGAAGGCTCTTCCCTCAGACAGCCACAGGGCTTCCTCGCAGTCTTTAAGTCTGTGCTCCACCTCGTCCTCCCCTGTCCTTCTTTGTGAGGCGTGCTCTGAGTACTTGTTTAAACTGCAAACAACCCCCCCCCACCTGCTTGTGCTCCCAACTGTCTGCCCCTGCCTACATTTTTTTCATTCTCTAAAGTACTTACCACTTTATATTTACTTACTTTCTGTTTCCTCCCACCACGTACACACACACAGAATGTCAGCTCCTTGAGGGCAGTGATTTTCACATTCCGTTCACTGAGTCCGAGAGCCTAGAACATAGGCACACAGTCCACCGCCTACCGATTGCCCGTTCTACTCTCTGCAGTTTTGTTTGTGGCCTGTTTCCCTCTTTAAACTGACTTCCCCTCACCTCCCTCTAATGCAAATACCATTTTTCCTCCCTTCAAATTCCAATTTTAAAACTTGTCCTCTGAAGTCTTTTCGACATTAACTCTCCTCTACTGACCATGGGTTTTTATGTACTTAGCCAACAAAATTTTACATTAACATCTTTGTTTGCAGCCTCTAAGTCTCAAGGCATGTGTGTATACAACTAAACTCCCATTTCTTTAGCTTACAATAAATTTTGTTTTTTGACTGATTTGGTGCCTTTTTAAAACATGACACTATCATTTAAATAATGGGCACAGTGTACAGGTTCAGTTACTTCTCTATACAGATTATAAAACAAAGTAAGTATGAAATGTCAAGGACAGCCCTGGTTCGTGTGGCTCAGTGGACTGAGTGCCAGCCTTCGAACCTAAAGGTCGCCGGTTCGATTCCCGGTCAGGGCACATGTCTGGGTTGCTGGCCAGGTCCCCAGTTGGGGGCATGCGAGAAGCAGCCAAGCAGTGTATCTCTCGCACAAGATGTTTCTCTCCCTCTCTTTCTCCCTCCCTTCCCCTCTCTCTAAAAATAAATAAAATCTTTTTGAAAGAAAAAGAAATGCCAAGGACTTTCTCAGACTTCTTAGGAGAACTGTAGCCACTGGGATTGTAAATGTTTCATGCTTTTATGAGATGCACTGGTAAGGAGAAAGATTACCAGAGATTTCCTTGGTCATACACAGAGTAAATATTGATAAGTCCACCAGCCTCCTTCAGTGAGAAACCCAAACCTGTTGTGTCTCCCAAAAACGAGATGTTGAATTCCTAACCCCCCAGGACCTCAGAATGTAAGAAACATGACCTTTCCAGGGGTAATCAAGTTAAAACCTTCACTGCGGTGGGCCCAACCCAATGTAACTGCTGTCCCATAACGGGGGGAGTTTGACACAGAAACAGACATGCAGAGGGAAGATGTTGGGAAGACACACCAGGAAAACACCGGATGAGGACAGAGGACTGGAAGGCTGGGTCTGTGAGTCGGGCTGCCACAGCCACCGGGACTAGGGGAGAGGCCTGGGGCGGTCCTCCCGCGGGCCCTTCAGGGAGCATGGCCCTGCCGGCACTTCAGCTTCAGACGTCCGGCCTCCACAGCTGTGGGACAGCACAACTCTGTCACCTGAAGCCACCCAGTGTGTGGTACCTTGTTACTGCGGCCCGGTACACCCATCACCTGGGTGCAGTAGATTGAGCTGAGACCTGGTTAGCTAGCCACAGTTCCAGGTTATTCAAGTTCCAAAACAGTCCCTGAAACTGAACTTTTTCTACTGACTGTCTCGATTCCAGAGTGGCTTTGTAATTATTACTTCACAATTATTCCACTGATAAAATACTTAACTGGGGATAAGGGAACTGTCTTCTACTGTAGTATCAAAAAGATCCTCTCTGTGAGTACAACTGAGGACCGGTCAAGGCCCTATGGTTTCTACAGGCAAGTCTGAAAACATTCTGCTAATTGCCAATTATTGATATATGTTTGAGTTGGATCAACACAGGGGAAAACAATGTGGAAAACTGTTCAGATTGCATGACTCTATTTAATTTCACTGGTTCAGATTTTAGAAAAATGTCTGGTCTGAGTCACCTGGACCAACTGTCTACAGCGCCTTGCTTGCTGGACCAGTAAACAACGAACCGGTTAGAGTTGGCAGCAGGTTCCACACCATATTCTGAGAGGAAAAAAAATACGAGCCACTCTTTTATAGTTCAGGTATAAACTCAGCTCAGTTCCCCTGCAGGCAGACTCGGGTTCCAGACCTTCCCTGGGCGTGAGGGCAAGGACTGAGCCTGCCGCCCCAGGGGAGCCCGGCGGCCTTGCAGCCATCTCGCCCACTGCACCCTCAGATCGGGTGGCATCTGTGTAGCCTCGCTTCTCCCTGAACCAAAGGTCAAGACCCCACGTTTTCCATTGCTGTAATGCTTGCAGGTCTAGAAAGATAATAATTAAAGTTTAAACATTCCTGTCAGTTACTGGATATTTCTCAGTAAACAAAGAATCACAATAAGCAAATTGGACACAAAAAATATTTACTAATACTATGAATTACAACAACAATCCTAACATCTATTGAGCAATTTTACTAAAGTGCCAGATGTTTTCTCTAATCGTCACAAAAACCATGCAAGGAGGATGCTATCTGCCATTTTACTAAGAGGAAAATGGAGCTCAAAAGGCCTAAGTGGCAGAATTAGGATTTATAGCCAGATCTGCCTGGCTGCAAACTCAACCACTGAATGAGCAGTGTTACAAAGACCCCAGCACGTTCCAGAACCTCACTTGTATTATCTTGAACTTTCAGAACAGCCCTCACCGACTGGCAATGCTGTGATCACCACGTCTCATCTGAGGGGGCTGGCACTCAGGAGGGT